TGTGATTTTCACCATTGCATCCTTCCACTTGTCCAATCTAGACAGGGTGTGCTGATGTAGCAGAATACATAGGACCGTCACACAAGATCGCAAGTAGATCTTTCTGGTTTGGCCCCGATGGACAACCCACGGGTCTTCATATCGTCGTTGCCCTGGGCAGTTTCCAAAGCTACGATACTCCAGCTGCTTTCAGAGCAGCGCCTGGTATCTCACCACATACAAGTGGTGAGAAAGGGAAGTTTCCTTCAGAATGGGAACTTCTGCTCGGCATTCGTGACTTTCGAGAATGCTGACATGGCCGTACGGGCTATCGGACTGCTGGATGGGAAAGTGGACCCTCGATTGGGCCCGGTTGCTTTGAAAGCTGAAATGGCGAGGCCGAAGCCGAGGAGTCGAAGATCGAGGTCGAGGACAGCTGTTCGTGTGCCTCAACCAAAAGTGCAGGTGGGCTTCACCGTGGACAAGCCCGCACCTGCTGTAGCCGAGAACACCGTGGACGAGCCCGCAGTAGCCGAGAACACCGTGGACGAGCCGACAGCTGTAGCCGAGAACACCGTGGACAAGCCCGCAGCCGCTGTAGCCGAGAACACCGTGGACGAGCCGACAGCTGTAGCCGAGAACACCGTGGACAAGCCCGCAGCTGTAGCCGAGAACACCGTGGACAAGCCCGCAGCTGCTGTAGCCGAGAACACCGCTGTGGACGAGCCGACAGCTGGAGCCGAGAACACCGTGGACACTGTGTTGGGGCTAAGAGGGGATTTCAAGGTTGAGGGTTTCGGGTCTAAGGTACGGTTTGACTGTAACTGTAGCCCACAAAAACTAACCTAAACCCTGTAAACCCTGAACCCTAAGCCTTAAATACCCAAGTGGCCAGGACCACGAGAACAGTTCCCCGCACGAGCCGACGACGCCTGCTGACGACTCTGACGACGACACCGAGGCAAGCAGAGCCAGAGAGGACTTTAAAGATAAGACACAATAGAATTTGGCCATTTTTCGACGACCAATGTGTTGGGGCTCAAAGGGGATTTCAAGGTTACGGGTTTCGGGTCTAAGGTATGGTTTGAATGTAACTGTAGCCCACAAAAACTACCCTTAACCCTGTAAACCCCATACCCGAAATACCCAATTGGCCAGGACCACGACACGAGATCCCCGCACGAGCCGACGACGCCTGCTGACGAGTCTGGTGGTGTGGACGAGGAAGCTTCGACGTCGCCGGCAGATGATGTGATCCGCCAGTTTTTGTTAGGTGCGGCACAGCACAGGTCGGACTCGGAGAATGATTGAGTATCGTCACACTACGGCATTTCAGCTTCTGAACCTTTTATAACTATGTATACACACCCCTGTATCCAAGACTACCTATAATCTCCAATCTGAAGCCTTCATACCCCTTACCCTAAACCATAAACCCTAAACCCTAAACCGGCTGTGTTCAGTTGCAGAGGGCTTGCTCAATTTCATCTGAAAGCGGGTTCAGGGTTCCTTTTTCGGGGTGATACCAAATACAGTACGAGCTCCGAGGATGTGCATGTAAGGTTGCCAGGCAGAGAACGATCGCACATTTGGTTCTCACAAAGCACAGGCTGTCTCGTAATAGCTTTTCGGAAGCCAAAAAACCATTCTCGGCTATCTATAGCACCTCCATTTCAGGATTGTGAAACTAAACCCAAAGCCCCAAACCCCACACCTCACACCCCAAACCCCGTAGCCCCAAACCTAAACCCAACAAACACTTCGTGCTCGTACTAGTACAACTGCGACTATACTGCAAGTATCCTAGGCAGCCTGTAGAAAGGATGCACTTGCCTATAAGGGCACGACCTGAGAGGACCATCGGTCACACGGAGAGGTGAAAATCAGGTGAGCCACAGGGAATTCGTCCGCCGAATGGACGAGGAACAGGGTTGTTCGGATTCGCGGTCCAGATTATGAGTTTCCGTTTTCGGGACAAGAAAGCTTCGAAGGAGTTTGGGAATTTTCGTCTAAAGTTCCAGTGAGAAGGGAAATGCTTTGTGGAAGTTTGGTGTGAGTTCCGGTGCTACTTCCATATAAGGAACCCCAAAGCCCTAAACCCCTAAACCCCATACACCTAAACCCTGAAGCCCTAAAGCCCTAAACCCTAAACCCCTAAACCCTATACCCCTAAACCCGGAACCCCTAAACCCCTAAGGAGGTAAGGCAGTCTAGTAGAAATTTAGTGGAAACTTCCATTAGGGACCAAGGCAGTTTAGTGGAAATTTAGTGGAAACTTCCACTAGGGAGCAAGGCAGTTTAGTAGAAGTTTAGTGGAAACTTCCACTGCCTATTGGGGCAGTTTAGTAGAAGTTTAGTGGAAACTTCCACTTCCTATTGGGGCAGTTTAGTAGAAGTTTAGTGGAAACTTCCACTCACAATCGGAACTTTTAGTAGAAGTTTTCTAGGTGTTGTGAAGAAGTTTCAAACATGGTGGTGTGCAAAACCCTCGGCAAAATGACATATCGAGATCCAAACTTCTACCAAAGTGCAACACAACTTCCAGCAAAGTGCCAGCAAACTGCCACCAAACTACCCCAATGTTGAGAGGAAGTTTCCACTAAACTTCTACCAAACTGCCACACTAGGCAGTGGAAGTTTCCACTAAACTTCTACTAAACTGCCACACTAGGCAGTGGAAGTTTCCACTAAACTTCTAC